TCAATTATTATTATTATTGTTGTTGTGTGGTCTAAGTCTTTTAAAAAAAATAATAGTCAACCCTTCACACAAAGAAAACTGAGTTATTTATTTTTGTGTACCTAACCCCCTACATTTATACAGTCCACAAACATAAGGAACACTATATTTACATTTATAAGAAATCAAAGCTCAGATAGGTTATGTATTTGAATAGCTTGATTTACCTTGTTATAGACTAATACGTCTAAATACGTTTTTRAATGAAAGTAGGTATTTTTTCCCCTGTTAAAATTTGTATAGTTTTAGCTACCATTTTGATAATAATCAGTTACTTGATTAAAAAAAAAGAAAAAAACCTTGTTATTAGAATTTAAATATTGTATCATAGTTTGTGCATTGTGCTCACAAGCGGTCATCCATCCAACTTTGATTTTTAGCATTAAAATATACGTATTAGTGTGATGGCAGCAATTTTCAYTGATAACAAAACATTTCATCATATTATGTTTTCCCCTTAAATCATATATATCTGCAGTACCTATAATATATAGTTTTCCCATGACTTGGAATGCTTATGGTAACTTCCTATACTGGATCATAATATTTTGATTAATACACGCAATCCATATTATGTATTTTAGTTCACAGTGCCCCGCGCGCGCCAGCAATCGATTGACAAATGGCGTAATTGTAAATTCAAATTTATCTACAAACAATTAGAAGAARAAATGCATAGGCGTGTTCAGACTTCATTCGCAGGTTATGCAYAACAGTCGTATATCCTGGGAGGGGGCAACCGGGCAACCGGGCAACTACACCCTCCCCCCATCCTAATTTTTTTTTTAAATTAAATAAAAATGTCTGTTAGGATATGACCCACCCCCCCCTTACCGAATTTAAATCTAGATCAAATGACAGGCAAGACCAATGGACACGCCTATACGAAAAAATTTATCATAATTTTATGAGATCGGGAGTAGATAGGTAGGTACTATAGTAGGTAAAAACTATGTTAACTTATACGTATAATAGATAATATGTATGTTTATAAACTGGTCTTAGTACCATATTATAGGACTTATTTATTATGCTGTATAATATGCTTAGGAGTTAGGACGTTATTAAATATTAAATTWCCAAAATATGTTACAGTATTTTCCTTACCGTGAAAATGATTCATTTTAAATTAATATTATTCTTCGTAACCAAAAGTTATGAAATCACACTCGTCGGCCGTCGCACACTAACATAAAAAATAATGAAATTATATTAAAATGATAATAATAATTTATACTACAGTGATACCGTATCAAAATTATTTCAATAATATGATATCTTAATATTTATTATTGACTATAAGCATATTGTTCTGTGCTATAAGTTCTATAAGACGTAGCCGGGTGATATACGATTGCGAACGCACCTTTCTCGTTAGGTTGAGCGCCTATCACGATTGAGAACGTTTTTACCTGCAATCAGCGTTGCCAGATTCGTTGTTAGTAAATTATATTTATATTATAAAAAAGATTTTATATTATATATTATTTTAAGTCAGTTTAAAATAAACATGGCATAAACTTTGACAATAATAAATTCTATTGAAAACAAAGTAAGACCTATGGTTATACCCGACCCGTCTCGACGTAGCCACTTTTTTTTTTTATTCACTGATAATGTTTTGACATTTAGTATTTTGCACGATTATATAAAGTTCTTTATTAATCATGGTATTTTGGTACTTATCTACCTGTATGGGCTGTACTTGATCTTGATGCACAATATTGT